GACATGCTGCTCATCTTTCTCCCACACAGCTACCCGTCACAGCCCTTTCCTTAGACACACAGAGCCACTGCGCTGGCCCGGATGGACCCCAGCTGTCCTGATGTTTGCTGTGCCCGGGCTTTTCCCACCACCTAGGTGTTACACCACTTCCATCCAGACAGATTCTGCACATCTCTCAGCTGCTAGCTCTGACTGTTCGCCCAAAGACTTTCCTGTTCAAATCAGCTAAAATCAACTCCCCCTGCTTCCTTCTAGTTTTAAATCACTTTGATTTCTATTTATTTAAACCAGAGGTAGGGAACCTTTTTTCTGCCAAGGGCCATTTGGATATTTATAACATCATTCACAGGCCATACAAAATGATCAACTTAAAAATTAGCCTGCTATATATTGTCAAACATTTAATTAACTCACTCCTAATGCCTTGGCAGGGCCAGACCGAATGATTTCAGGGGCCTTCTATGGCCCACCAGCTGGATGTTCCCCACCCCTGCTTTAAAACAATAATCTACACTAATAAAAGACAAACATGCAAACTGACCATACCTTCACTATGCCTTATAGCGAAGTTACGCCCACCAGCCAATTAGAGCAACTATATGCAAATTAACCCAACCAAGATGGCAGCTGGCAGCCACGGAGCTGGAGCAAGCAGGAGGCTTGGTTGCCCCAGTGATGGAGGGAGCCAAGCTTCCCGCCTGCCGTGGCCGGCTCTAAGCTCCACTCAAAGCAACAAAGTTTCAATCATTGAAGGTAAATACATCCATGATATCTGCTTTCAGCAGGCCGTGGCCACGGAGCTGGAGCGAGCAGGAGGCTTGGGTTGCCCCTGGCGGTGGAGGAAGCCAAGCTTCCCTCCTGCCCGCCTTGGCTGGCTCTGAGCTCCTCTCAAAGCTACAAAGTTTCAATTATAGAAGGTAAATAAATCCCGGAATAAAAAAAAGAAAAAGCAAAAAAGGAGAGGCTGGGAGCTTCCATCACCAGGGGGCTTGGCCAGCCTGAAAATGGCCCTCAGCCCCTCACCCAGACTGGCCAGGCACCCCAATGGGGATCCCCCACCCTAAAGGGGGTGTGGCCAGCCTGAAAACAGCCATCAGCCCCTCACCCAGGCTGGCCAGGCACCCCAGCGGGACCCCCTCCCTGATCTGGGACACCCTTCAGGGCAAACCAGCCGCCCCCCACCTGTGCACCAGGCCTCTATCCTATATAATAAAAGGGTAATATGCAAATTGACCCTAACAGCAGAAGGACTGGGAATGACTGGTCACTATGACACACACTGACCACCAGGGGGCAGATGCTCAATGCAGGAGCTGTCCCCTGGTGGTCACTGCGCTCCCACAGGGGGAGCTCTGCTTAGCCACAAGCCAGGCTGATGGCTGCCAGCACAGCGGTGGTGGCAGGAGCCTCTCCCGACTCCTCAGCAGCACTAAGGATGTCTGACTGCAGCTTAGGTCTGCTCCCTGCTGGTAAGTGGACATTCCCCAAGGGCTGCTGGGCTGCCAGAGGGATGTCTGACTGCCAGCTTGGGCCCAATCCCCCAGGGAGTGGACATCCTCCCCGGGGGACATCCTCCGAGGGGTCCCAGACTGCAAGAGGGCATAGGCTGGGCTGAGAGACCCCCTGAATACACAAATTTTTGTGCACTGGGCCTCTAGTGAATGATAAGAAGAAGAAATTAAGAAAATTATCCCATTTACAATTGCATTAAAAAGCATATTATATCTAGGAGTAAATTTAACCAAAGAGGTGAAAGATCTGTATTCTGAAAACTATAAAACACTGAAGAAAGAAACTGAAGAGAATACAAATAAATGAAGCATATACCATTGTTCAAAGACTGGAAGAACGAGTATTGTAAAAATGTCCTTAGTACCTAAAACAATATAAAAATGAAATGCAATCTCTATTCAACTCCAATGGCAGTCTTCTCAGAACTAGAACACAGCTACAATAATCAAAATAGTATGGTGTTGGCATAAAAGCAGATATATAGATCAATGAAATAGAATAGAGAGCCCAGAAATAAAATTTCCAATAAATAAACTCCAATAAATAATAAATTGACTTATATGGTCAATTAATCTATGACAAAGGAGGTAAAAATACACAATGGGGGTCAAGACAGTTTCTTTAGTAGTGGTTTTGGAAAAATTGGATACATGTAAAAAATGACACTGGACCACTTTCTTGCACCATACATAAATATAAACTCAAAGTGGATTAATGATTTAAATGTAGGACCTGAAACCATAAAACTTCTTGAAGAAAACAGGCAGTAAACTCTTTGACATTAGTCTCAGCAACATCTTTTTCAATAGGTCTCGTTGGGCAAGGGCAACAACAACAACAACAAAAATAAACAAATGGGACAACATCAAATTACAAAGCTGCACAGTGAAGGAAACCATCAACAAAAAGAAAACTACTGAATGGGAAATGATATCTGTCAATGATACATCCGATAAGAGGTTAATATACAAAATATATAAGACACTCATACAGTTTAACATTAAAAACCCCCCAAAAATCCATAAAAAATGGGCAGAGGACCTAAATAGACATTTCTCCAAAGAAGATATCCAGAAGGTCCAAAGACATATGAAAAGATGCTTAACATCACTAATCACCAGGGAAATGCAAATCAAAACCACAGTGGGATACCACCTCACACTTGTCAAAATGGTCACCATAAAAAAATCAAGAACAAGTGCTGACGAGGATGTGGAGAAATGGAAACCCCTGTTCACTGTCGGTGGGAATGCAGACTGGCAAAGCCACTGTGTAAAATAGTATGTAGGTTCTTCAAAAAAATAAAAATAGAGCTGCTATATGACTCAAGAATATCACTTCTGGGTATATATCCGAAGAAACTCAAAACACTAATATGGAAAAGCTATATGCACCCCTATGTACACTGCAGCATTATTTACAACTAGAGGCCTGATGCATGAAATTCATGCAAGAGTAGGTCTCCTTCCCCCGGATGCCAGCACCGGCTTCCCTCTGGCTGCCAACAGGCACCTGGGACCTGGGCTTTCCTCACAACCTCAGCTTTGTCTGGAAGGTCATCTGAAAGGATGTCCGGTCTAATTAGCATATTGCGCTTTTATTATTATAGATAGCCAAGACATGAAAGCAACGTAGGTCTCCATTGACAGATGAATGAATAAAGAAAATGTGGTGTATATATACAAGGAAATATTGCTCCCAAGGAATGAAATCTGGCCATTTGCAACAACATGGACGGACCTAGAGGGCATTATGCTAAGTGAAATAAGTCAGAGAAAGACAAATACCATATGATTTCACTTACATGTGGAGTCTAAAAAAAAATCAAAAGAAGTGAGGAAATAAAATAAAACCAACCCATACATACAGAGAACAAAGCTGATGGTTGCCAAAGGTGAGGGGGCTGAAGGAGGGGTGAAAAAATAAAGGACCTATTATATTTTATCAATTTATTCAGAATAGGGCACATTGTTTTTAGTTATGCATCATGTCTTTTCTGCTACATTATAAACTTTGAGGCAGAATTAATGTCTGACTCACCTTTTTATTACCTAAAAAGGCCAAAAAAACAGGAAACCAATACTTATTAAGTACCTACAATTTGGCCAGAACCTCAGACATTATTTTAATCCTCACAATAGTCTCATAAAGTTGGCAGTCTGATATTACATAAGAGAAAAAGCAGTTCAAAGAAGCTAGTCAGGCCCTGGCCGGAATGGCTCAGTTGGTTGAGCATCATCCCATGCACCAAAAGGTCACAAGTTCAATTCCCAGTTAGGGCACAAGCCCAGATTATGGACTTGATCCCTGGTAGGGGCATGTGGGAGGCAGCCTATTGATACTTGTCTCTCTCTCTAAAATCAATAAAAAACATATTAAAAAAACAAAACAGCCATAACCGGTTTGGCTCAGTGGATAGAGCGTCCGCTTGCGGACTGAAAGGTCCCAGGTTCGATTCCGGTCAAGGGCATGTACCTGGGTTGCGGGCACTTCCCCAGTGGGGGATGTGCAGGAGGCAGCTGATCGATGTTTCTCTCTCATCGATGTTTCTGACTCTCTATCTCTCTCCCTTCCTCTCTGTAAAAAATCAATAAAATATATTAAAAAAAATAACAAAAAAAACCCCCACAACAACAGCAAAGAAGCAAGTCAGTCTTCTTGCCCAAGTTCACCCAACTAGCAAAGAACAAAGTCTATTTTGAACATATTCCAAGACCTGCCCATTTCTACGATCCTTTGTATATCATTTGATGCTAAATATATAAAACACACATTAGAAGTAAATATCCATTAAGTGAGAGAAGCTGTCACCATCCACATCCTAAAAGCCACCTGCATATAGAATAGTAGGATAAACTTATCTCCGCTAAGCATGTCCAAACAGGACAAAAAGGATGTTTGACCAGAACAGATACCACGTCATCACGGAGCTGCAGTAAAGAATCTAAGAATGCTCTTTTTAAAAAATATTCAACAAACATATATTGTATATAATCTTACGTATATTACCCTGGAAAGATATAAAGGAAAGTCCCTGCCTCTAGGAACTCAAAACTGAGCCAGGGATAGATACACCCCCACAACTAACTATAATATAAATATGCACATTTCTTAGAAGAGAGGCAGTCAACTCAGACAGAGCCACGTTAGCACCAGTTATATTTGTTATCAGAATTATAATTTGTTTAAAAAATATAAAACCTATGTGTGATCTAGAAACTTGAAAAGAGAAGGATTTGGTTAAGGAAAGAGAAGGAAAGCTTTTGAAAGGACGTATGAGGTCTGACAGTTATGTAAGTGCTAATGATAAGGTGGCGATGAGAGCCCAGTTCAGCCCTGAACGCTCTTCTCAGGCTCTGCTACTCAAACAACACTCCTGAGTGACATGAGGACATGACAGAGTTCAACAAAGTCCAAGTCCAACACCTAAGGACCCAACTGAAGTCTCCAGCCAACCTACAAGCTCAGCCTCTCAAACACACCCGTACCTTTGGAGTGTCAACACACTCTTCTTCCATAAACGCTGCTTCTGCCTGACAACTGGACGCTGGAAATGAAAAGGCCTCCACATTGGATGCCTGTGGGAGGAGGGTAGATCGCATCAGTCGCATGTTCGGCGAATGCATGGTCACTGGGAAACCCACAGTTTGTGCCTGTAAATATGGCAAGAACAAACAGTTTAGGAACATTAAAACCTTCCATATAAATACACACATTTCTTAGAATAAAACAACTCTTCCTGATACAATTAAAGGATAAATCGTTATTTGTTGGAAACTCCAGAAAAGGTATTGATTTGAAGCTGTCTCAGCAACCTATTATTCTGAGATAGGCTGTACAGAATTTCATTCCTGTTCCATGTGAGGCACACAAGTTTCCCAGAGATGACAAGAAAGCCAGTCTTTCTAAGGAATCTAAGAATGCTCTTTTTAAAAAAATATTCAACAAACGTATATTGTATATAATCTTACGTATATTACCCTGGAAAGATAAAGAAAAGTACCTGCCTCTAGGAACTCAAAACTGAGCCAGGGATAGGTACATCCCCACAACTAACTATAATACAATACAAAGGACACTGCAGTAAGTGCTCTCTATCTGCCCTTGTGTGTGTGTGTGTGTGTAGGGGGGGGGGGCGGGGGCGGGGGTAAGGTGGTGTGCATTTCTTGGCAAGGGTGTGTATGAAGAGGAAGAAGAGAGAGGCAGCAGTTACTTGGAGGTGACTGGAATGCCCTTCTTTCAAGGAGACACTGTCTGAACACAGCTTGCTGGCCCAGCGGAGAGAGATGCTTATTGCTGAGCAACTTCAGTTCCTGAAGTCAACCTACTAGAGAAAGCGCTCCTGGCGGTGCAAAGCCCATTCTTCCCGTCTCCTTTAAGTAAACAGGCATTGCAAACTCTCCTTTAAAAAATCATTTTAAAAAGAATCTTCCTTCCTGACAGTAGGCAAGGATTAATTTTAAAGATGAAACTGTTGGATAATTCTTTCCTCCCATCTCTTCAAAACTAGCAGAATAATTCATTAGGTGCCCTTTGAACATTACAGACATTGTAAACATCTGAGGGAACAATCATCAGACTAGTTTCTAAAAGGCAGAGGAATGGCCTATATTTCTGCCATAATCACCTCAATGGGCATAGGATGGTGAATTTTAAATTCAAACAACAAAAAGGACCAAGCAGTATGACGCTAGCTTCTCCACTTCCAAGCCCTGGGAATAATTCCTGGCTCCATCACTTACTACTTGTGCGCACTCTACTAGGTTACTTAACCCTCTGAATTTTATTTTTCACCAGTAAAAAAGGGCATAATACAAGTGAAGTTAGTGTAAAACGTAGTATGTAAAATCCTTCACTCAGTGATGCTAATTCCTCCTTTTTTTTCTTCTAAAATCTAAAAATGATCACAAGAATTTAACATAGGAATTAGATTGCAAAGTGAATACAGTTTTATTCTTAGACACTATCTAGTGGTTCCCAGTTAAAATTTCAGGTTGATGTTTTTTTAAAAAAATATATTTCATTGATTTTTTATAGAGAGGAAGAGAGAGGGTTAGAGAGTTAGAAACATCAATGAGAGAGAAACATTGGTAAGTTGCCTCCTGCACACTCCCTACTGGGTATGTGCCTGCAACCAAGGTACATGCCCTTGACCAGAATCGAACCCGGGACCCTTGAGTCCACAGGCCAATGCTCTATCCACTGAGCCAAACCGTTAGGGCAGGTTGATGGTTTTCAACAATGGGGAGATATGTTAGAAATACACTTTATATTTGAATACTAGAGGCCCTGTGCACAAAAATTTGTGCACTGGCAGGAGGGAGGGGGGGTGTCCCTCAGCCTGACCTGTGCCCTCTCACAGTCTGGGACCCCTCAGGAGATAACCACCTGCTGGATTAGGCCCACTCCCCAGGTGGCAGATGGCAGGCCCTATCCCGCAGTGCCTGCCCTGCCTCCCCTGGTCACAGATGGCAGGCCCGGATCTCACGCTGGGTCACAGATGGCAGGCCCAGATGGCGGCGGGGCGGGCGGCCAATCGCACTGCCCCGCCCGGCCGCCCCGGGTTGCACACAGCAGGCCCGGATGGCGGAGCCCCTGCCTGCAGTACGCAAATTTAACAGCCATCTTTGTTGGGTTAATTTGCATACTCTTCTGATTGGCTGATGGGTGTAGCAAAGGTACAGTCAATTAGCATCTTTGTCTTTTATTAGTGTAGAATAGAGGCCTGGTGCACAAAAATTTGTGCACTCAGGGCATCCCTCAGCCCAGCCTATGCCCTCTTGCAGTCTGGGACCCCTTGGAGGATATCTACCTGCTGGCTTAGGCCTGCTCCCTGGGGGATCGGGCCCAAGCTGGCAGTCAGACATCCATCTGGCAGCCTGGCAGCCCTTGGGGGATGTCCACCTACCAGCAGGGAGCAGACCTAAGCTGCAGTCGGACATCCTTAGTGCTGCTGAGGAGGCGGGAGAGGCTCCCGCCACCATCGCTGTGCTGGCAGCCATCAGCCTGGCTTGTGGCTAAGCAGAGCTCCCCCTGTGGGAGCGCAGTGACCACCAGGGGACAGCTCCTGCATTGAGCATCTGCCCCCTGGTGGTCAGTGTGTGTCATAGTGACCAGTCATTCCCAGTCCTTCTGCTGTTAGGGTCAATTTGCATATTACCCTTTTATTATATAGGACAGAGGCCTGGTGCACTGGTGGGGGCCAGCTGGTTTGCCCTGAAGGGTGTCCCGGATCAGGGAGGGGGTCCCGCTGGGGTGCCTGGCCAGCCTGGGTGAGGGGCTGATGGCCGTTTTCAGGCTGGCCAAGCCCCCTGGTGACGGAAGCTTCCAGCCTCTCCTTTCTTTCTTTTTTTTTTATTCTGGGATTTATTTACCTTCTATAATTGAAACTTTGTAGCCTTGAGTAGAGCTCAGAGCCAGCCAGGGCGGGCGGGAAGCTTGGCTTCCTCCATCGCCAGGGGCAACCTAAGCCTCCTGCTCGCTCCAGCTCCATGGCCACAGCTGGCTGAAAGCAGGTAGCTGGGGTTTATTTATCTTCTATAATTGAAACTTTGTTGCCTTGAGTGGAGCTCAGAGCCTGCTGCAGCAGGCTGGAAGCTTGGCTTCCTCCATCACTGGGGCAACCAAGCTTCCTGCTTGCTCCAGCTCCGTGGCTGCTGGCCGCCATCTTGGTGGGGTTAATTTGCATATAGTCGCTCTGATTGGCTGGTGGGCATGGCTTAAGGCATAGCAAAGGTACAGTCAATTTGCATGTTGGCCTTTTATTAGTGTAGATACTTTAAAAATATTCAGAATATACTTTATATTTGGTATATTCCAACATCACTGGGTATACTTAATGAGATAAAAAAAAAAATAGAGCCCTAACTGGTTTGGCTTAGTAGATAGAGCATCGGCCTGTGGACTGAAGGGTCCCAGGGCTCAATTCTGGTCAAGGGCACATGCTGGGTTGTGGGCTTGATCCCCAGTGGGGGGTGTGCAGGAGGCAGCTTATCAATGATTCTCTCTCATCATTGATGTTTCTATCTCTCCCTCTCCCTTCCTCTCTGAAATAAATAAAAATATATTAAAAAGAGAAAAAGAATAAAATAGCAATAGCAAAGTGTTGGATTATTATACGGATAGTTAAAACAGAAAAAAAAATACATTGCATACTATTCTGAGCATGATAAAAAAATAGCTTTCCTTATATCATCTTCTGTAGGCTTATATCCTCGGCCACTTTTGAAGCTAAATAACTTTTTTTCCTTTCAAGCATTAGTCATTTAAATTACTTTTTTTAGCCACCATATCACAATATAAAATTTAAATTTCCTAACAAAGTACTTTTGACATATTCTGCTCACCCTCATCACCAGTTTTTCAAAGGAGAAAGCTGAACTGTGATTTCTATTTCTCAAAATTACTACACTGCCCTACATGAAAGTGGTCCACGTCACCAGGTGAAGACATTTCTGGGAGATACTGCCCGGGAAGTGAGATGGCCACCTGGCCACTGCGATGAGCTGCTCCCTCCAGAGCCTGCCTCCCATTAGCTGTGACTTTTTACAGGGCAGGGCCGCCTGTGCCCGACAGTGTAGCACTGTCCTAGGCAACTCTCTCATCCAACCTGGACTCCGGCACTAACTTACCGTGAACTTGGTAAGGACAGAGGAATAACATTTGATCGTGACAATCACTTCATTCAGGTTTTTGGAGTCTGCTTTTTAGGATTCTTGCAATCACTGAGGGGACTAACCAGTTGTTTTGGAACTAGGTAAGTTATAAATATTCAAACAGTATGCTCAGCACTACAGAGCTGACTAAAGAATATATTATAATAAATAGATGGCTGATTAATATCCCCACTTCTTTGGTAATAAACAATGATCATCCCTAACTAACTGTAATGACTTTTAAAACCATGTTTATTTTTTCTGAATCTCTTCTGATTCTGTTCTTTCCAGAATCATGAAAATAATGTTTCCTTCTAAGGGAAAATCTTTATTGTTCCAATAAGAACATGCATGTATTGACAGAATTGTGTCCCCCCTCCTCCGCCCAAATCCATATGGGGGAAAAAGTAGGTTTACAGTTGTATAAATTAGCAATAAGTGAATAAACTGTTCCACATACTCACAACTGTAAACCTACGTTTGCCCACCCCTGTATGTTGAAGCCCTAACCCCCAATGTGACTATATTTGGAGATAGGGCCCTTAAGGAGATAAATAAGGTTATTAAGATGTAGGGTGGGTCCTGGTATCCCTTTAAGAAGAGGAGGAGACACCAGAGATCTCTCTATCCAAACACATGCAGAAGAAAGGCCATGTAAGGGCTCAGCCAGAAGGCATTTGTCCACAAACCAGGAAGGAAGTCCTCACCAGAAACCAGCCCTGATCTTGGACTTGTAGCCTCTAGAACTGTTACAAAATAAACTTTAGTTGTTTAAGTCATCCACTCATACAGTACTTTTTCTTACAGTTGTGGAAAGTAGTAATTAAAGAACTGGGATGAGTGTTTCATTCTTGTCTGCTTACAGTTGATGGAAACTTGGAGTGGAAGAGCTGTTAAGAACTAGGAATTAGAAAAAGGCATGACCTTTTTTCTCAGTAGTTATCTGCACTCAATTAGATGCAACATTTCCTGCATATTATACAGCAATGCAAGTACTC